CCAACCTAAACGATTCTATGATTCTATGATTCTATTTTACTGAAAATAATTTTAGAAATATTTTAGAGAGCTTTTGAAGTAAACGATGGTGATGGTTCTATTGCTCAGTAAAGAAAGCCAGAATGTATGAATACCACAAGTGCAACAGTTTAGATGATGGAGAATATATATATAAAAAAAATTAATATGCTTAAGAATATATCTGCTTTCTGCCGCTCTGCTCTGCTCTGGTGAGACCTCACCTGAAGTACTGCGTACAGCTCTGGAGCCCTCAGCACAAGAAGGACATGGACCTGTTGGAGCAGGTCCAGAGGAGGGCCACAAAAATGATCCAAGGGCTGGAGCACCTCTCCTACGAGGACAGGCTGCGAGAGGTGGGGTTGTTCACCCTGAAGAAGAGAAGGCTGTGGGGAGACCTTATTGTGGCCTTTCAGTACTTAAAGGGGGCCTATAGGAAGGATGGGGACAATCTTTTTAGCAAGACCTGTTGTGACAGGACAAGGAATAATGGATTTAAACTAAAGAAGAATAGATTTAGACTGGACATAAGGAAGAAATTTTTTACAATGAGGGTGGTGAAGCACTGGAAGGGGTTGCCCAGAGAGGTGGTGGAGGCCCTATCCCTGGAAACATTCAAGAAATCTCTGCAAATATCTAATGTGTTTTTTCCCTAACTGGAGAAGATGTAGGCTCACAGTTGGCTGGGCTTGCCAGTGATAGAAGTGGTACATCTTTTGGAAAGCTTGCAGGTACAGAAGAGGTAGATCCTTACTAGCCTTTGCAAGTGTAAAGGTTTCCTTATCATCATGGCTTGTGAGATACTAGACCACAAATAAAATGTTGCTCATAGAAGTAGTGCAGACCAGCATAACATAAACAGGCAGTAGAAAGAAAGCTTCCTTTGTAGTCACACAGTTGGGCATGATTTCAGTTGTTTTGGGTTTTTTTCTTAAGTGTCTTGGAAGGCTGCTCAGGGATTAGCTTCAGGGATAAGTAACCAGAGAGTCTCAGTATCTAAGACTGGAAGGTCCATCAGGCTGTCTAGTCTGACCACCTGTAGGCCATCACATTTTCCCTAGTGCTCTTTTTGACCCCAGTAATTTGTAGTTGGCTAAAGCACATCCTTATACTTGCTTGATCCCAATATACCAGGAGATGCCTAAATTGGAAGTAACTCTTTCCAGAAACTGCACATCCCTTGTTATTTTGCACTTGTGTCTGTTTTCTCAGTTGCGTATATCTGGCTTCAGCTTCACCACACTGATGACTAGATTGAGGAGCCTTTACTCCCCACTATTTTCTTCCTGTAAGAAGGTATTAAACACTGTAATCAAGTCACTTGCTCAATCTTTGTTTCATTAGCTAAACAGATTGATCTTTTAAAATCTTTCACTTCAGGGCATTTTTCCAGCTGTCAGATAATCTGGAGGCTGTTACCAGCTCTGCCAACAATTTTTCAACATTCTTTTAAAAATCTGAAGTTCAAAGAATAACAGGCTTTTTGATAAAAATGGTTTTCACTAACAGTTTTGTACTGTGCACTTAAAAATTGACTTTTACCTTCCTTCTTAAATCATAATGATACATGGGACACACCTGGTGTAGGTGAGGAGGGTCTGTTTGTGTATGCATTATATTGGTAAATGGCACTAAATACATGCTTCTATGAAATACAGGAATTAAACAGTATGCTTTTGAACTAGGAAATAGGGACCCAGTCAAAAATATATCCAAGAAAACATTCTTGGCATGTTCTCATATTACCTATCACTTGTATAAACACACTGTGTGATAGACTAATAGGTAGATCATAGAAGTATGATAATAGAAGAAAAATAGGTTTACTTAGGATAATTTAGGATTTATTCTCGGTGATTCTCAGAGAATAAATGTGTGATTTATTCTCAGTCATGCCTCATGTTTCCACTGGGCATCCAACAGGTACTGACTGGTAAGGGAGGCTCTGCCTCGGGTGGCGGGGAGAGGCAGCAGAGGTGCTGGTTTGCAGATGTAATAGGTGAGTGATGGAGATGGGTGAACCCCATGGGCTAATGGGGAAAGCAGCCCTCCGGAGAGGAAGACATGAGGGTGGAGGTAGGTAAACAAGTAGTTCAAATTTGATAGATGAAAAAGGGAAGATGGTGGATGAATTCTTATCACAGTAGTGCTAATTAATTGTGATTTTATGAGTGAGATGACCTAAAAGTGCAAAGAAAGGAGAAAGAGGAAGACCCAAGAAAGTGTGGAAAAAGCAAGGAGGGGGGTGTGACATGATGGGTAGAGACATAAGAGGAAAACTAGGAGAGGACAGGGTAGCAGAAGCCTGGGTGGGGAGGGAATTTCAATCGAGAACAACTAGAAGTGCCTTTGTCTGGAAAACTTCTGGAAGAACGAATATATTTTAGAAAAACAGTTAAAATGTTCATTCACACTCTTGTTATTTTGTCTTCATGACTAGAGTCTCCCTCTTCCTTCCGTTTCCTAGTCTTGGCCAGTCCAGCCTTCACACCACTCCTGCACTCAGATTGTCCCTCCAATAGGGTCACTTTGACCATTGTGCCCATCTCCTGGTATGGCTTCTTTAATGTAGCTGTCTTGTGCTGCTGTCATGGCTTAGTTCTGCTGGTAACTCTAATGTAGTATTTCATCCCGTAAATACGATCTTTTACCTAAGATTCTTAGCTGAACTCTGGTTTATTTCATTTTATTCCAAAGTTACCATTTTTTGAAATCAATTTGATTTCTCCTCTATTGACAATAGAAATGTTCTGTCAGGAAGAGCTGAAGCTGGATACTTATACATGGGTCTTAGAAAAATGGCATTTCCTAGGACTTAGAGGAATATGTTTTGTCCTTTGCTTCAACAAAATGGACCAGAAAACCTCATTCCTTTCTTATGTCAACTTTAAATTGTCACTAGGAGGTCTCCACTGTTATCTAGATAGGGACAGAGGGCTTTTCTTCAGTACCTGTTTACTTGGGAAGTTTAAAAATTCCTGATCTTTCTGCAAGAATAGTGGTAGCTGCACTTTCACATGTTAAGGGAGTACTTAACTGTGCATGAAACTACAATACGTTCCATAGCTGCAAACCATTCTTTTCACAAGTACTTCAGGTCTTTACCAGTGCAGCTAAACTGATGTCAAAATAAAATATAATGCTTCTCCACAGACACACAGACACATAGACACACAGACGCGCGCACACACACACACTTATATACATAGCATATACATATCTGTGTGTGTATTTATATACCAAAATATGTGTGTTCTCCAGACCTTTTCCCAGAGGCCAGTCTTCAGCAGTGGCATTAAAGATCTGACCACACTCCTTTTCTTCAAAATCTTTGAGATTTATATTTCAGTTGTTAGCATAAGTTGGTGGGACCTAATAGTTGGGAATAGGTTGTTTTTATCCAGTGAAATCTAGAGATTTCCTCTCTTCCACATCAGAGTATCAGAGTATCAGTATATCATTTCTGTTCATTTTGGGACTGGAGATTTTTGCCTAAGCTTTATTCCCTCCCTTCTCACCCCCTTTTTTTGTTTGATTTAAATCTGCTCATTCTGCTAAAAAACTCTGCAAAGGACAGCGCATTGTTTGACACGTAAGCCTGTTTCCAGTCTGCTTGATTGATCAGTCTGGCATCTTCTCTTGGCATTAAATACAACCACACATATTCTCCTAAAAGGCAGTATATATCAGTGGAATTTGCATTGTTACATGTTTCAACAACTATCATGTAGGCTGATGAATGACATTTTTATTATTGTAGGTTTAAAAACTGAACAGTAATGAGTTTATAATTCTTATCCTGCAAAAAGCTGTATTTACAATTTCCTTCTCATTCCTTCTTTATTCTGAAAATATGTGTTAAATACATTTCATAGCTCAGGTTCTCCATGAGATTAGGTTGAAGTGAAGGTTCAAGTAGACAGAGCATGCATGCCAAATATCATATGAAGATAGGGTATTCAACTTACATCTAGCATGTTTGAGAAAGAAACATACTGATTTGGGTAGGCATTAACGTAGCGTGTCAACTGTTTGCGAAGTATTTTGCAAGGGATAGGTGAAAATATTGCAAGGCAGTTTGTGAAATTCTCCATTTTGTTCAGTGTATTGTGAAATGTTGTTTCAGTTTGCTCAGGATGAAGATAGTTATATTGGTGACTTTGCAGTGGTTGAGTATGAAACTGCAGAGCAGGCTGAGAAAGTACAAGAAGTCACTGATGGCATGACTATCAAAGGAAAGAGAGTCCAGGTGTCGTACTGTGCTCCGGGAGCGCCAGGCAGAAGCACATTAGCAGCACTTATAGCAGCGCAAAGGATGGTAAGACATTTCCAAATCTGTTTTCAGAATGAGTTTGATACACCTTGAGTGGCCCGTGTTGGGTCAGAGGGATTCAGCTGCTTTGCATTAGGAAAACAAGCCAAGCTTTTGGAAGCATTAGCCTTTTTTTTTTTAATCTAGTCAGCCCAATTCAGTCTCCTTCCTAGAAAAAGCATGGCCATATTTCCACAGGGAGGAGGGGTAAAGTACAGCCATAAGATATTACAAAGTTATACTTATATAGTTCTGGGATTTTAGTAAATTTAATTTCCTGTACAAGAAATTGTTCCAGTTCAAAACAAAAGTAACTGTAAGTGGAGTCATTTGACAAGCTAAAACTTGGTTTAAAACAGAGGCAAGAATTTGTCAATTTTAAGATAAACTTCAATGTAGGAGAAATAGTTTAATTTCATCCTTGATATAGAAGAAAGCTTTTTACACCCACATGTATTATCAAATTATTTCTTAGAAAATTGGATGTGATAAGTGTTACATGAGGCTGTCTTAAAAGTAGAAGCAGAACAGTCTCATTACTTTGGCTAGCTTTAGCCCACATCTTTATAAAAGAGATTGAGTGGTGCTATTCTAAGATAGTATGCGGTGTTCATGCTAACAGTGCCTTTCACATTCTCCTTTATTGATAACTCTGTCCTGGTTTAAGGGAAAAAAAGAAATGCGTCGCAGGAAAAACAGTATGCTTGAAGTTTTGGGGGAATAGTTTGTTAGGCGTTTCATTTGAGGGAAAAGGAGCATGGAAAGGAGCAGGAAACAGGGAAGGAGATGTTTTTTCTGTGTAAAATGAAATGTGTATGTTACCGTCACACAAGTTTGAGGGATATCAATGTATTCTTTGTTTTCTCCTGATTCTAACATTTTTGTATCTCTCTTACTTGGAGATGAGGAACAATAGGAAAGGCTTGCTTCCAGAGCCAAATCCAGTGCAGATTATGAAAAGTTTTAATAACCCAGCAATGTTGCAAATGCTACTGCAGCCCCAGTTGCGTGGACATGCTATTAAACCTGGTAAGTTGTTTTAAAATTGAGTTAAAAAAAGAAACCATGTTCTTGGTGATACAAGGCTTTCAGCAAAGGAGAGAAGCAGGAATACTATTTTAAAATCTGTGCAGGCAGTGTTTCAGTGTGTCTGTGTAGAGACTTCCACATCTTAAGGAAGCAAAAGCAAGAGATGGATTGCTACACTATTGTGTCTGGGAAAAATTCGGTGTTACCTAAAGATGTCCTGACATTAACTCTGTGGTCTCTGAATGTTTATATGAGGAATGGATTTAAAATTAAATGTCTTTTGGCGGACATCATTAAAATGGCAAGTTTAAATCTGATTCTAGATCTGAATTTTGTAGCCTGAGTCTTTCTCCTGTTGATTCCAGTGTAAATTGTTATTCACTTGGACGCTACCATAGTTATACACAGCATTTCATAACAGTGTTAGCCAAAAACATTTCTCTGTCCTCTCATTAGGATGGATGTGAATAAACATATAAAAAACAATCTTACCACATTTCAAATGGTGAAAGTATTAGAAACAGGAATGAGAACAGATAACTTGAAGAGTCAAGTGGGGGACAGCTAAGAGTTTGTGACATAATCCACTGACAGAAGATACACAGAAATTGTGTGTGAAGTGAACACTTTAGTGAAGAAACATTTTAGCTAATGCTGAAGTTTCAAAGCACTTTAGGTAATGTTCTGGTCTTGCCGTCAACTGCAGGCATGTCTGCATCTTTGAGCAAAACTCTCAGTTTTAGAGGAGCTCCCTCCATGTACGTTTGATCTCTAATATGCTGTTAATGGCAGATCAAAGCTGGGTGTATTGAAAGGCTTCATTATAGTGACCTTTAGTATACTCGAAAGTTTTGTGGAAACCAAATCTGATAAATAGAGAATAACTCTTATAAAGATCTTTACTCGCCTAACTTATAAAGGGCTGCAACTTTGTCTTGTGTTTCTGAAACAGTTCTTGGAGCATCTGCAGGTTTACCTCAACTTATAAATTCAGCAGTTGGCCCACCTTTTTTGCAGTTGAATAAAGTTCATCAGGTATGTGACAAAAAAACTTTTGTCAAAATACTTATTTGTGGAGATCTTAGCATGAAAAATATTCTCAAAGTTTTAAGAAATTACAACTAAAATCAAGTGTTCTTGTTAAAGCTGTCTTTAAGAAAAGCAGTCTGCTATGAGATACCTATGGGGATGTAAGAGCAGACTGTGCTTACTATCCACAAGTGAGTTATTTTATCTTAACTGAGCTTTTGATTTGCTAACACTTGCAAATGTAGACAACTTGCCATTACTGACAAAAAAAATCCTCTTCAAATGAGAGCTCAAGGAGCATGGCACATCCGTTTCTCTTGGAGCTGCTCATACACACTTTGTGTAGAGACTTGATTGTTTTATCTTATTCAAGCCAAGAAGCTTAGTATTGTTATCTTCATTTTAAAGCTTGCAAGGACCAAAATGTGCTATTATACACCATAAAAATAGTAATTTGCAGTTGTTACTTCTTAGTCAGAAAACCCCAAGGTTATAAGCTGTTTAAAGTGTTTTCAGAGTATCTGTAATTCACTTTTGAAGTTGATATGATTTCCGTATGGACACCAGAATTTCTGAAAGATACTATAAAGGATACTTGGGGTGAGCTTGCCCTAGAAATCGGTGATGAGAACATGCTAGAGTAGCACCCACAACCAGAACTCCTCCCTGCAGCAGTTCATCTGGCCACCAGCCTGCCTGGCTTCCGCCTTGCGCTGAGGTTCTGTCAGAGATTACTCCAGCTCTGCCAGGAGCCAAAATTTGCCTTTAATATTCATGGTGGGGATTTTCATAAGAACCTGTGAGGGACTGGAGTAAATCACTTCAACTTACTACTTCTGATGTTTCAGAAATTCCAATTTAAAAAATAAAATCCCCTTAAGAAGTTCTTATTTCTGCTGTTCTTTTGGCAAACACAGACTTATCGATCTTAAAAAAGACCGAATTAAATTGCAGAGATACTGCTTACGTTAAGTATATTTAGCTTTTCTATTTTTTTATGCTAAAAACTGGTAGGTGAATATATTGACTTTGAATAAATACTACTTAATTTTGCCCCATCAATGAGTTGCTTTTGTCCTGTACAATGAAAAAATACATCATTCTTTGCTTGTACTTCTTTTATTTAAATGACATTTTCAATTGGTATATTTAGTTACTGCTGCTCTCTTGTCAGCCTTGGAGAGTCTATGCTTCCTTGGAAGGCAATCTGAATGTTTTCTAATCGCAGCTGGAGACAGGCATGTTTTACACAGTTAACAGTGTGATTGATGATGATCCAGTGTTTTTTGGCTTAAGAGTGCTGCAGCCAAACAACTTAGTGTTTTCTCTTTTAGAGAGACTTACAAATCAAATTCTCTTCCAGGGAGCTTCCTGTCATTTAACTAGCTCCAAACCTGGTCTAATAACCTGAATTTTATTGACAGTGATTTGATTATCCCAATTCTTTCTATCAGGCACATTTTTCTGTTATCCAGTGACTTATTTCAGAGTATTCTCTAAAGCCAGAGAACCAGGTCACTATTTTTATTGTCTTGAAATTCAGTATTGTCAGAAGATAGAGGAATAGACAGCATCTTGGCTTGACTGTCTCCCCACCCCCCCAGTCACACACTGATTCAGCTTCCTGTATATCTTGGTTTTGCTATTTTATATTCAAGGTTTTGTAAAGTAATATAATGAGAAGAAACAATATTTTTAGGATGATTATGCCACAACATTATAAAATAATTGATAAAAAAAGATTCAACAGAGGGGGATTTGAACAAATGGGTTATTCATCCAGTGATCTTTCAACTCTGGAGGTAGCATGACTTTCAACTTCGTTCTTTTAATTTCTCTTACTTACAATTATCATGTGCCAAAATAATGCATTTTAAACTTTCTCAGTGATGTGTTTGCCTGAGTCATCCAGCAGTTTATTAAATCTTTATTAACCCAGAGACCTTCTTCTGAGGATTCTAACCAACCTGATTTTCCACTCTTGTATTTCTGAAAGTTTTGCAATTGAACTAATACATTTTCTCTGTTGACTTAACCAAGGTTAGAAGGAACAACCACTGGTATTGGTGACAATAAACAGCCCTGGATAATTTCTACTGGAAATCACTAAGACAATTAAAATAGCAGATGCATAGCTAATCTACATCTGGCCTTTTTTGTTTTATATTGCATATTTTTGAGTCCAGAAGACTATATTATAGGCATAGAGGGTTTTCCCTAGGGAATTTGACCCTATCATACACAGATACAACCTAGGCTTGAAAATATTTGTGAGGTATTTTGCAGGAGGCTGCAAAATCTGCAAAGCTATGCATCGGGAGAGCTGCCTTCTTTTTGGGTTCCATGTCATTACCTGTTTTTGGTGATCTTTCCTATGTAGGAGATTTCAGAAAAATGAGGAAGGCTATACTCGCCGTGATTTGATACAGTCAGTGTCCCATAGATCTATTCTTGCACTGCTGTACAAAAAGGTTTGTAGAGCAACCTATATTTTGCCTGGCAAATCATGCTCAGGAGCTGCTGCCAGAAAGGCAATTTCAAGCCTGCGTTCAGCTAGCATGAATCATAATGTGGTTTTGTGATCCAGAGTGGACATAAGGTTTCTTTGAAGCTACTGTGCTAGCCAGAGCACGTACTGCTGGATATACCAGTAGCAGAGTCTGAACATGGTGCCCCGAAGTTGTTGATTAAGTGGCTCAATTCTGGTGGCAAACTGATCCAGAATTTTTTTAATGAAAAATACTAAAATTTTATAGACTTGACAATCTTTAAGCACTGTAATTTGTAAGCTTTTTAATGGTTCTGGAATAGAATTTCATGTAATAGTTGCCACTAAAAAAGGGGGGAAAACATATCTGGATATTCCTCTTTGAAAGTAAAGATACTGTTTGGTAACTGTATGGCAAGGGATGAGAGTCCCTGCCAGTTACAGCCGAGTCCTGTAAAGTGTATAGATATTTGGTGGAGATTATATATTAGAATTGCAATACAAGACACAATGCAAATGTTAACAGTGAAGTCCTTATTCATAGACCTCATAATCCCCTGAAGTCCTTGTGTCTCATCTTTCTTATTGGCACTGTAGGTAACTACCCTATCTATTCTGCCTGCAGAGGCTTCAAACATATTTAGCTTTCCCTGGCTTAGACACAGGGGCTGCAATGGAGTGTAGATTGTATTTGGAGTATACTCTTGATCCTTTAAAAGCTGTCAGAAAGCATACTTACAGTTGTGAGGTGAAAAAAAGGGTTAGGAGGAAGAGAGGTTAAAAGAACTTGAAATAACTTTCCATGAATTAAGCAAAAATTTACTTCTGTGGAGGAAATAGTTATTTTCCTTTACTGTATTAACTCAGACACTAATTTAAATTTCTTTCAGCAGTATCATCTGAAAATGTTTTGAGAATGTACTGTTTTCTATGACTGTCAACTAACACTTCTTTTATTAATTGCACAGAGCTCAATTCTGGGGAGTACATCTAACTTACTGCTGCAGAGCCCTGCTCACCTGCCATTGCCACAGCAGCAACTGATGAAGATTGAAAACATTCAGGCTAATAGTGTAAGGTCATCACTTCAACTTTGACTGTCTTTGGACATTCTTATCACTGATAAAACAAATAATTTTCTTCATCTAGTATAATTTAACAGTTTAGTGTATCTAAAAAGATTAACTGAATGTGAAAGTTATAAGAAATACCTACAGACAGATTGTTATAATAATTTACACAGTTTTCTATTCTTCCTTATAGAAACCAGGTTTGCTGGGAGAACCTCCAACAATGCTGCTTCAGACAGTACTGGGAATAGGGGTAATGCCATCAGTGAGTTCAGGCATGGGAACCCGTGGAGAAGCTCTTAAGTGTAAATGACGTTTTCTTTCATACCACATCAGTAGAAATGCTCAGCTTGAAATTATGCACCTTACTTTCTCCCACTTTAGCGAAAGCAGTAATATGTTTGAACCTTATCAGGTTGCTCACAGGTTTTTTGAAAGTGACGGGAAACACTAAGTAACTTATTATCATAGCGAATGTTTAGAAAAGTCAAGAGTTTTCTTCTATTATATTAGCTTTAAATAGAGTTGTTTGCTCCTAGGATGGTAAAAGAATAAAAACTATCATCAGAATCCAGTGTTCTGGGACAGCTGTAAAATAGATCTCTAAATGTTTTTCTCATCACTTAGTAAAAACCACAAACAAAATGTACTGATAAATCTTGTCTAACAGAAAAGTTTCTCCATTTATGGTTGACTGCAGCATCTAATCTGACTCCAATTCAAACAGCAGCAGCAGCAGCAGGGATGGGCATGCTGCCATTCTTTCAGAATCAGCACATTGTTGGACAAGCTATACCAGGGCAAAATAATGCTCCGGATAAACAATTGACTACCGAAACGGTTGTCTCGGGATCACAGCCTTATCATCAGACCTTAACAAATCTTTCTGCGGGAGCTTTGCGGGCTGGACATGCCAAACAACAAAATCAACTAAAAAGTACTGATACAAGTTTGGGGGTAAGGAACATTGAATACAAATATTTTATTTTTTCTTGTGTGTGGATTTTCTCTTTTTTATTTTAACATGCTTAAGAGTTAACTGCAACTGCTTATTGTAGTTCTTCACTGTAAAATTTGCTAGATCACAGGATCATTCATGAGACATTTTCAGGTCATTTCAGTTATGAATAATAGGGAGAAAACAATAGTGCTCTTTGGTGGTCCAGATGAATTAACAAAGGAATCTTTTTACAATGCTGGAGGGTTTTTTTTCCATGTGTATGCCTCATAGTATTTGATGATGAAATTATCTCAAGGGCAGTGTCCCTTTTAAAGACTGAAAATTGAACTTGTGGTTGAATTTCATGACTAATCAGGAGCAATTCTGGTGGTGTGTATGGCCTTTGGGTTTCCAGGGCGGGGGGTGTGTGTGTATATATGTGTGTATGTAAATTTTCCACTTTTAATCTGTACCCTTTTAGCCATAGCTGACATACTCTTAGTCTGTGTCAGTTTTAATATTTAATCCCTTGAAGGCAGGGGGTGGGAGGATGATGGGATGGGATTTAAGTTGAACCAGAACAGACTATTTTTTTCAGAAGTTTTTTCCTGTCATTAACAGAATTTACTTTTTTTATAATATACATAAATACTTCGACATTTATGGGGAAACATGTCCTTAATTCAGATCAGATCTGTGTTTTCCTTACATATTGTATGAAGCATCTGAAGTAATTAGATTATGTACAGTATTGGTGTCTGCCTTTGTTAGACAGCTTTGACAGATTTGGCCCTACTTCAGAAAGTACACTTTTCATTTTTTAAATAATTTTTTACTGTAACTAAGTGGAATTTTACCTGTGGATAGATACACATGGATAAAATACATAGGGTGTATGTGTATACATATATAAAATCAGTGTTTCATTTCAGCATTTCATTTACTTAAAAGGAAATGTAATTAAACCATTAGAAGTCTGGATAATTCATTTATTTCTATGAATGTTGTTTATCAGGAAAAGTACTTTTTTGAAATCCTGGTAGATGTGTTAATTGTTTCCTTTTCTACATCAGTAGACAGAAGGCCCAGTTTGCAAAAATCACTTCCTTGACAAGACAGCCACAGTCTGTATGCTGGTACTGAACGGTCATGCTGTCTTAAATGCCTGCTTTTGCATCCAGATGAAGAATTTCAGCACACTGTTGAAGCTTTTTGTGTTTAAAAACTGGTCTCACTGTTTTTGAAAAGTTGTTGATTAATACTATTTTATTGAAAATAATATTACTCCATTAAAATTTTCCTTAATGGGCTTTGAAAAAATGAACAGAATAGATGTAGCGTAGAATACTGTATAAACATCTTTGAGCTATGTATTTCAGACAAGCTATGTAACTTGCTATAGCTACTTCATCCTTATTTCTGGTATTTGCTCTAACATAAGCTAAAGGGAAATAAACTGGTAGTGCACCCTTCCTAGTCCCTCACAGGAAAACAGTTCTGGTGGTTTGGAGGAGTGAGTCGGTCCTGACACTTCATTTCCACTCATAAACATTTTCCTCTTTTAAGTAAGGCCTCGTAAATAGAGTGATCAGTAAGATGTGTTATAATGAGAGATTGCAGACAGTGTCATCTCTCCAGTCCAGAGTTCTTTTGTCCTGTATTTGCTTGTGACTCTGGGTGAGAAGAGTTGATTTTGTCTTGGCCATGTACTTAATGCTACCCCCCTGCACCTGGAGGAGTTATCATGGTTATTATTCCTTTACCTGAATGTAAAAGGTTTTCTTTTGTTTGTGGGGTTTTTAATATCCTTTAGTAACTTAGAGTCTAAAGAGAAACATTCCGACAAAATTATTTGGCAAGCAAAAAGTACAGGCAATGTGTCCAGATAGTTGTCCCCCATATTTATTTTAAAAGTTTTCCTGTTACATTTCATAGGGCTAAGCTTTTTTCAAAATCCTGCTGGGACACTTACCTTATTTCTGACAAGTCTTCTATGAATATAATGCAAACTGACCTGTCCAATTGTTTCGCAGACTCCCTTGAAAAAACAGACTTCACTGCTAGGAGAACCACCAAAAGAAATACGTCTTAGTACCAACCCCTACTTGAATTTGGCAAGTGTGTTGCCTGGTATATGTCTTCCAGGTAAGCAAATGTAGCAGTTTTAGGTGCATGTTTCCTTGACCAAAGCGTGGCAAATTGTTATTCTGTTTGGCAGGTACTTCCAGTGACCACAACATTTATCTTTAAGGAAATCTTGTAGTCTGTCTTAAAATTGCCATGTAGTCGATCCTCATAGTTAATACTTTATTTGGGAAGGGTAAATTTTCAGAGTTAATGGGCTTACTGATGCAGGCAAACTTCTAGAAAGCCTTTCAATTATTAGTATCACTGACTAATTTTGAGCACGGCATAATCTGAAGTAGCAAATTTTTGTTTTAATCCCAGAATATTGCTAAACAAGAGTGCAACCTAATTTGTGCGGTTTGTATTATACAAACTGTGTGTTTATACAAACGGTGTATTGTTTGTGTTACGAACAGCAATTGCCAGCAAAGCCTCTAGTCCACTGCAGCAGACCGGACTTTCGAACAACATCGTGGATGCTGCTGTGTCTCAGGGAACTACATCACAACATGCAATGGAAAATTATTTTAATTACTCTCAACAGCATGGGGAATACACACAGGTACGTTGTTTTGCGGCGCTTTCTTCTGAAGCCTGGTTTGTCACTCAGAGCTCCGGTAGCAGGATTTTTGGCAGAGGTCTGCTCAGAGATCCCTCCCCAAGTTGCTCATTGTTTTTCTCTGTGTACTCTTAATGCATTTCTTGGTACCTATGTGGTCTGATAGCCTTGCATGCAGTTGAACAGCATTGCCCAACATCATGAACCACTCTTCAGTGGTTCCTAGGCTTTCCTACAACCAAAGCCCATCCTCTTCTTCAGATTGAACCTTGTAGGTCCTCTTCACTGATAGTTTATCTCTTTCAGTGTACAGAATAGATTTAGCACAAAGTACACCTAATGCCAGTCAAAAAAAACCTCAATACATTCCCTGCTGCAGTATCATAACCATTGGAAGATTGCTTCTTGAGAACCTGAATTCAGTGCAGTCAGCTAACGAAATACTTCTTGTAACTTCTGGCTTGGCTTTTGTCTGTCTTCAAAACCATGAAGTTTTTCTTTCCCTTCCCAAGAAGTTTTAAAGTTTTCTTTAACTTTGGCTAGATCCCAGAGAAGAGTGTCTACCAGAAGTTCCCGTGTAGCTTGGGGAATTTTTGCCAGCTGGTTTCACTGCATGGGATTTCTTCACCATTTGCCCCATTTGGTGATCAGAGCATGGCCATTAAGGTGGAGGGCTGCCCCTCATCTGGAGAGTGTTGCAGTACTGAGAGCACCTACTGGGTTTCACAGACATCAGGACCCTCTGTGAAATAACATTTCCGTATTTTCATTAGCAATCACTAGTCTGTGTAGAAATATAATTGTATGCAAATGAAATACAAGAACTGGATCGTAGTGCTGTCAGCTAATTTGTATAAAAATCTTGGGTCTGCGCAGAGACACCCATCCTGGCTCTGCTGTAGGTCTATCTCTCTCCTGCCCTGTTGCCAGATCTCCCCTCCTACAGCAGGGAGTCAGAAATGAGCTGTCTTCTCTTGTCCTAGGCTGCTGGCAAGGAAATCTGTGTTGCTCCAAAACTCCTGGGGTAGAGCAGGGCTGCTGCGGGAGCCAGTTCAGTCTGGAGGACAGAGAGCAGGTGCAGGGGTGGCATGGGGGTTTTTTGTATTAGGAGGGTCTCAGCCTGGTCAGGAGGGGTAGAGGGGATGGGGTCGCTGCAGCGGGGAGCTTTGCCAGGGGCCAGATCCATCTCCTAGTCAGATCAGATCTGGTGACAGTTGTGGGTTAGAGAAGAGATGTCCTGTGGGCTGTTGCACTGTGTGTTTCATGTAAGCACTGACATAGTCTTGAATATTTTGTTTGAATCTGATTATTGGCTTTAAAAACATTTTGATGTCTCCTGGAGGTAGTTGCTAACCCCAAATCCTTAAAATACTGCCCCAAAAGATCAGTAATATTGTAGTATTAGTGTTACTAGAATTATTTTTAGTAACATGAAGGACTCAAGTGATGTCACTTAGGTGCAGAGATGCCATGTGTCATCATTCAGCTATATTTGTACTGTATGTTCCTTCCAGGTAACAGAAATTACATTGTACTTGCGTCCTCTGCCAAGGCAGTTGTGCCTTGTATATCTTTTAAGCACTTAATGTAGATTTGAATGTTTGGTTTGAGCTTTATCACTGGTGTTAAACATGTTTTGATGCTTCTTGGAGAGCTTTGCCTTTTATTCATTCTCATGTCCTGTGAGGCCGTAAGAATTGCTTTCATTTAAAGCGATCTTAGTAGACAGCTAATGGGAAGAGGTTTTTTCCTCCTTTATAGGAGGCTGTTCAGCAGTGGTATCAGCATTATGCTCAGGCATATAACTCTACCCAGGCAAGAGTCGATGAATTTGAAAATGAAGCCTCTGAGGTGAGAAATAATTTTCTTTTCTTCCTGTCTCCCTTGGCTGTTTCTCCCATCAGCTGTAAGGGTGCTTTTGGACTCTGGACACCTGCTTTGTTTGTTGATAGTGGCTGCTGCCGTCAGTACTGCAGAAATAGGGGGCTGGAGAGCGTGGGATGAATGGCACTGCATGGTCACCCTCTGCAGGGCATCCCTGCACAGTTACTCTCCAGGATTCATACTCACACTTTTGATTACATCTGGCATAAATATTCCTCTCTCTAAAATCCCACAATCCAAAGTTACCTGTAAAGCTCAGGAGTGTATTAAAATGCTCCTACCAAGAAACAGCACACCATAACATTATTTCCCAGTGAGTCTATTGAGGATTGTTTCTCGCCTAGGCCATTATATAGCCCGAGGTTTCTGAGACCAATGAGAAGTACTCTTTCTTTTTTTTTAAAGGAGTTGTGTAAAGTAAACTGTCCCCCAAATCCTATGTTTTACTCAAGAAATTGCTGCATGCCTGAGCTGCTGTGAATTGTACACTCCTTTTAGCAATTGAGTGTCACTCAGATATTTTCACATCTGCTGAGTGCTCATTACTGTATCAAGTAAAAATGAATTATTAAACCTATTTTCTTTCAACTTCTGGTTGATCATGGATCCCGTTCTGCATTTAGGACTCTACAGGTGGATCTTACCCATTCTACAGTACCTGCTTGCAGGTCATGCCTACATTTTACAGTGGAGCCCAGGGATCATACCAGCCAGGCAGCTTGCAGCTTCCTCCACAAAACCCATTAAATAAGGTGAGAGGAGACACTGAGCAGAGTGGTTGCAGATGCAGCCCAAGCGAGCTGCTGGTGGAAGCGCTTCTTATTTGTCTTATGCTGCCACTGAGTGGACTTTGGACCCACAACAAGCCAAGGCAGAGCTTTTCAACTGCATCCGCGCTCCTCAGGATCCTGAGTTGCTCAGGATCACATGCAGTTCCTGGTGGATGTGACAAACAAAAGCAGTGGTTGGGCAGAGCATGCCAGCACCAGACCCCCTCAGAGCCCTCCAGTACCCTGGAGATCAGTGCTTGCTCCTCACTGCCCACAAACCACCAAATCCCACAGGCAAAGAGAGGCTGGATGTTTGTGAACAAACTTCATGGAAAGAGGGTATCTATCTGTGAGGGTGAATGTGCAAAAATGCCTTGAAGTAGGCAAATAAAGTAGGAAGTGAACAAAGGAGGAGGAGGAGGAAGTTCATGCTGGTTTTAGATGGGGGTTTTTTGCATGACTTGCAGATGTTTTGCAGTGAGTGCCACTGGGATAAAACCTCTGAAGCAGAGTTAGCAAGTCACAGCAGCGCCCAGGTTACCTAGAGCTGCCACTTTGTAATACTGTTGACTGGATCCTGGGAGGACAACCATTTTAAAATGGCTTTCACTTGAAATACATAACAGATGTCAGATACAACCTACTTCAGCCCGAATCATTGAGCAAAGCTTCCTTTGTCTCTTGGACCCAGCAGACGCTTAGTTTCATCAATAAAAGATGCAGGAGGTATAGGGAAATGCTATGGAAGCAGTACGGACCAGCTTAAAGGAGGCTGGAGTCTGGACTAACAGGAGGCCAGTTTAACACAGGCTGAGGCAGTGGGGTAAAAGCTTTGCTTAGTCTGAGCATAGGTCATCTTGTTTTCCAAGTGCCTTAGAAGTCCTGAGGAATTCATACTCTCATGCCATAGGTAAATCGCATTTCTTGTGTTTTTACTGATGGGAGAGACCTTAAAAGCCAGATTGTCATCTGTTTTGGAGCGGCTGCAGGGAAGTAGGCCCATCAGCATAACGAGCTGCTGCCTTTGCGAGTCCAGCCCCAGCCATGCAGCCATGAGAGCGATGATAATCTCTCCGAGCGCTGCTGGAAGGATGCCGAGCTGGCTCTCCAGCCTCCAGCGCAGCTCGTGGCCCTTTGCACGGTGCCCGGGCACGCCGAGAGGAGCCACAGGTGAAGTCAGCACTTGCACCTGGGGGAGCTCAGGCACCCAGCCTCCTGCGCAGCTCTCCTCCATCACAGCACTAAATCCCTTTGCTGCGCAGAGGTGAGTAGCAGGATTCAGCACATGATGTTGTGGCATTCAGGAACTCGCATCTGACTTAGTGTGAGATTCCTGGGTTTTGGAGTAGATTTGGAAGGAAGACACAACTGTAGCAATTCATGACTCCTGGGTGGGAGACAAAGCCTGGCTGGAGCTGGCTTTGACATGTCTTGGGATAAAGATGGCCAGGGCTTGAACACGGTGCCATGGGCTGTGAAACCTCTAGCTGTGTGCAGCAAAAAATTGAGCTTTCGGGTTCCTAACAGCTCTGATATGACTGGAAACGAGTGAAATTGTAACAGAAGGACATAGTCTGGGGTTTGAGCTAACTGATACCTTTCGGTTTGCCTCCAGTCTAAAGATGAAAGCTTGTATGTAGAGGTGATGTTGAATAGCTTGCTTGAAAGTTTGTCTTAATGCCAGATGCCATAAAAGGCAGAAAGAGAGCGGTCCCTTGGCATAGACTAAACAGAAGTACGGTTTGCCTCTGCAGTGAGGTACTTTTCTCATTCCTAGAAACTAAAAGATAAATCTCAGTGAAGCGGGCATGCACACTGGTCCCCAGGAGGCTCTGTATCAGTTAAGAGTGTGTGCTCGTGTGTGTGCGCTCGCTTTAACCCTGCAACCCCTTTTTCTCCTGCTTCTGTGGGCTGCATTTCAGAGGTTCAGAAACAGTCGGAGATTTGTATGAAGCACGTAGCAGTGATGCTGCACTCTGCCACGTGAGCCAGGATGCGGTGGAGGGTTACCGTACACATGTGACATCCCCATGGCTGTTGGAAGTGCAGGAGAGAGGATGGGGAAAACTAAAAGTCTTTCCTCAAGCAAGTTCCTAATTATGATAATGACAAGTGCATACTGAAATGGAATTTGACTTAGAAGAGGCTAACGTGAATTGTGAATGTGAATGAGCAAGGGGTGTTTCTGAGAACTGCTAGGAGGTGTTCGGCTCGGGAACATTTTTTTGATTGAGTTAAGGAATTAGTGTCCTGGTTTGTGAAACATGTTAAGGTTTCTAAAATATTCACTCCACCATGAACCAAAACCCCAAATCTTCTGATCTAGGAGCCACACTTAACCCAGGACACACAGTGTGGTTGAGCAGGATGTGGCGAGATCAGGCTCAGGTGGTTGTTACAGGGCAGATGCTTCAGTGGTTTAGAACAAGGTGACTGTTAAAGCCATTTGGAAATGAAATTAATGACATGTTGGGGGAAAGAGAGAAGTGATCAAGTCATTGATTAGGGCGGTGGGCTCCAATGTGTGCATACAGCTTCTAGTGCTGTAGATGCATGGATAGCGCAACGTTCTGCTCTGATGGATCCCAAAGCGGAACTGAACGTGAGCCTTGCGTACCCCAAGGAGCCCTTGGCGGCTGGGCAGGGTTAGGTCACCTGTGCCCTCACCAGAAACCCTACTCTGGGACCCTCAGGACTTTCTGTGTATCGGAGTGAGGCATTTTGGTTGAATTGAAGTTTTGATTAAAGAACTGTTACTGCTCTCTCCTTCACTGTGGTACCTACCACGTGACTCATGCCTGCAAGTGGCAGGTGGTTACCCGTAATCCGCAACACAAATCTGCTTTGGCATGGCTGGAAACCAAGTCCTTCAACATCTGACTTGCACCGATAGCTGTGCCAGGACAGTTTAACCCATTCAGCTCTCCAAGAGAAAAGAAAGAGGAATGAAAGGTGGCCCACTGGTGCCTTACTTTAAAGGATGAAGATGTCTGGAGCCGCTCGGGCACTGCTAGCATGGCCGTTACACTACTTCTTTTTAAATGTGCACTGTGGAGCGGGGCCACCTGGCCCAGCCAGCCCTTTGCCCTCACAAAAACGCATGTATGGTGGGGCACCAATGCATTTACAATTGGGTGGGGTTTTTTCTTTTTTTAGGGAAAGGGCACAAACACTGACTCATGAGCTGTGTATAGCCGGACCTTAAAGCCGAAGGAGTCGGGCCTTTGGAGTCGGTTACTGGCTCCTGGTCCTTGGTAATTCCCAGACTGGAGCTTTATTTATTGACGCCGTTTGCTCTGGATCATGTGTCACTTGTTTTCTTCTTGTCCTTAGGTGGCTCCAACGAGAAGCGAGAAGCGAAGCTCTTCGTACCTCATTTCCTCCCCAGAACCTGGCCCTATGGAGTACGTTGGCCAGCAGACTCAGGGCTCCGCAGTACGTTACGCAGAATCCTCTCTAAAAAAAAAGCGCGTTTATTGAGACCTAAATAATCAATCACTCCTGCCTTAGGGTGTGAAGGCAGGCTTTTTTGTACCTCTGCTATTTATTGCTGCCTTAACTTCAGACAAATAATTCTTCTTTATGTGTGGGTTATAAGTATCCCAAGAGGAACAACCTCTGTAACGGGCAAATTTGCCAAGGAAGTGGTACGTATTGCTACGAGGTTAGCCATTTCGCAGTAGTCCGACTTGCCTTCTGAAAGGATGGGATGGTGTTTCCTTTGTCGTCTGCCACTGAAAGTAACCGTGGGCTGAAGCTGACAAAGCAAAGTAACTTGGTGAGTTTTGGTAGCTTACCAGCCGAAAGCAATAAAAATACTGAGGGGGGAACACTGATCCTTTCTCTAGTCCTCAGACTGAGGAAGTTAAAAGAGGAAGTCTTGATAGTGATTTTTTTTTTTTTTTTTTAAACTCAGAATGTGGGTTTTGTTTTTTTTTTTTTTAAACCTTACTTTTTCCAGGATTAAGAGTTCTGCATTTACAGCCTTTATATTTTTAATATTTCTCTTAATCCTGGAATGGAGATATACCAAATGTATTACCAGAGCCTCTGTGATCTTTTCAATAAATGTTTATTAAAAGTGAGATGCTATACTGTGTGCTGCCTTGCAATATTCAGTTCGATTTGGATAGGTGATAGATACTTGGACAATGAAGTAACCTTTATCTGCTTTTAGGCCAAGAATCCACAGCTTTTCTTTGGAATAAGTAATTTACAGTTTGTGAATGTGTCTGTGTAAAACGGTGTGTGTGGCAAAGCACCGTCCGCCTTCCACGAGGTATGCGTGTCAGTAAGGCAGGGCTGCCAGCAACACTTTCAGGTGGCGGAGCCTTGTTAAAGATAACTGAAAGTAGAAGGAGTCAACTGCCTGTTTTACTTTTTCTGACTTCTCCTGGATCCGGATGATTCCAGCGATACTGACTGACATGCTCCTCGGATGATCCTGCCTTCCTGCTCTTTCCTGTATTTTTTTTCCTTTTTCCCAAGCATCTTAACTTTTGAAATCTGCTGCACCACAAAGCCTGCTAGAGCAGAGCATCCTGGCACCAGTTTTCATTCCTCCTTACATACTCCCATTTGCATGAAGTAGTTCTCAGTAGAAGGAAAAGCTATTTACTCACTCACCTCTCCCAGGTGTACAGGACGGGCTCACACCCGCGCACCGTGAACTGCAGCAGCCTGCGTGCGTGTCTGGGAGCGCCGCCTGCCAGTGTCGGGACGGCGCAGACCGGGCTGCCTCTGCGCATCGCCCAGCCCCGCTCCTCAGGGGCCTGCGAGCAGACACATTGTTTCCCAGCTTTGTATTTCTGTGGGTTTTTTTTCTCTCCTTTTTTTTTTTTTTTTTTTTTAAAAAGACTTTGTAGTTTTAGCTTATTCATTAAGCAGCTCTGGCTAGAGGCTTTTTCTGCTGTTAATCCTTGTAGCTGAAGACTTAGAAAGCATTACTAGTGAAAGCAATGTTTGTGATTGATGGATAGATAAATTATGAGCCAGCCCTCTGTGACGGACAGCATGGGTTTGCTGCCTTGGAATCCTGTTGCAAAGTCATTTGGACTTAATTCACTGAGCATTGAGGCCAGAACCCAGGTCCTTCTTTGCTATATAATATTGAAGCCATTTTTTTTAATACTGTTCTTTTTTTTTTAAAAAAAGTCTTAAACTCTGCCTTTCAAACTTTGTGATGTGACCAGGATACGTATTTTCAAAGCTTAAAAACCCCACCACACTCAAACTCACGCCTCCCTCAGCAGCTGTGTTGTATAGCTAGCACGCACTATGCATACAGGCAGTAACTGCTTAAGACAGCCAAATAGCAATGCAGGTTGTAGGAGCTTTTCTAGGATTCTCCATGTATGTATTGATAAATTCACTTGTAATATTTTGTTTGAACTGTTTGTATATGCCAACTTTCTCAACTTGTTACGCTTTTCAATGAAAATAAATTGTTGGTATGCATTTAAAGTGGATTTCTGTGCGAGGAACGTATCTCTGGACTACATTTAAAGAAATCTTTTAATAGAGGGAAGACTGGTTTTGAAGACAACATGTTCTGATCACCATTCCTATAGAAGTTATGTTTTAAAATCTTTCTCTGTTTACTTTATGATTAAAAGAGATATGCACGTGGAGAAAAAAAAATTTATTAGATTTGTTTGTATAAAGAGTAACAAAGTGCTTACAGATTTAATTCGAGTGAGTGACATACAGCAAAAAGAGGTAATACTGTAAAAATAAATCTGACCTCATTGCAGCTCATAATTACAATTTTTTTATATATATATCTCTAGATCTGTATTTAAAGACATCTTTCTGTTATTGCCAGAACTGAGTAGCTCCTCAAAGCATTTTCAATATCCAGGTGTGGTGGGAAAACATCGCCCAAGTTCTAGGACATGGTTCAGCAAAAGGTTTCCAGTTAAACCACTGTTTATCGAAGCTGACAGGTTTACAAGAGTAGAGTGCCCTCGCGTGACTTACTTGCTTACAGTTTAAATACTAAATCTGGTCCTGACAATAATACATACATACGTGGTCCCAGTCTGGCCCTACTGCCTTTCCCTTTGGTTAACTGAATACTGCACAAGCGCACGGTTGGAGTCGGTAAGTCAAATTAAGTAACGGCCAATGCTGTTATTTAAAGAATTGTCATCTTAGGCCAAATGAACGGCTTTACAGAAGAACTGCTAAAATGAATTAACCTGCTGGCCAAAGAAATCATTGACCAAAAAAAACCCCAAAACCACCAAGAGTGTGACATGCACCCCTCGGATGGCGCCACTGGTAACAAAAACCACTGTTTCGTGTGTTCAAGGGGTTCTTTCCTAGGGACACTGCCCCGGTTGCTCAGGCCTCTCCTTTAGATAACTATTCTTTCTTATAGAGGTGCTCCCCCAGATTCTCTACATGGATTCATCTTCTTAATGAATATGAATTCTTAATGAATTAAGTGTGAATTACACACTTAATGGTGTAATTAATTTCTTATGCACATTTCACCGCACTGTGGTTCACTTGCAGTACAAGCTGAAAAGCATTGTGTTTGCATGTTTAATAGCTACATAAACATGGAAGCTTCAGCAGGTAGAAATGTGTAACGTGGGAGGGGAGGGCCGAGATAGGAGAAGCAAATATGCTGATCCAGAAACTGGGTTTCTCAATGAAATGCGTAACTATAGAAGGTGATCCGTGCTTTTTGTTTGGTTGATTTTTTGAACACAAGAGTCAAGTGGTTTGTTTTTTTTTTTTTTAAGTGTTTGTAAGAGCTCAGAACTGCAGACTGGTTAAGACGAGCTGATTATTTTGTCTTCTATGGATTTTTATGCCAGAGTTGTTTTTTTGTTACTAAAATATAAGTGCACATGAAGGCTATTTTATTTATTGACACCATTTGCTCTGGATTATGTGTCACTTGTTTTCTCCTTGTCCTTAGGTGGCTCCAATGGCCAAACTTTTTTTTTTAAAACCTCCTCAAAACCCCATAAAATTATTAAATTACTGTATCAAGCCCTCTTATGTCCACTAGTTTAGTTATTCAAGGAATAAGCGTGCACAGCAGACTTGTTTTAAATGCTACAGATTGCACTGAGAACTGCAGCATTTTTTGACACTGCTCTTTCAGTTCGCATTCATCAGGGTAGTTCAAATTGTGGCGAGACCATAATCAGATAAAGATGAAACTGCCTTGCAATAACAGCAGCAAAAGGAGTTGAAGCTATTGTTTCTGCCATACCTTTTCATGAATTTGATCCAACTGTTGACTAAAATTAAAAAGGAAAACTGTTGGAAAAAGAATCCTTTAAACACATTAGCACAGTCAGAGTACAAATTACAGCAGTTATAAAAAAATGAATTACATTTTACTCATAATCGTTTCAAATCCTTGAATCAGATTGTGAAAGGTTGTCCGTTCATCGTGCTTGAATATCCAGCACTTCCTCATCAGCTGGTCCACCTAACAACAAAAAAAGAGAAATTTTTGAAGGATGCGTGAAACCTTGAGTTGTTTTTTCCAGCGAATATTATGGAGCAGATTCTCACTATTATGAAATGAAGAACGCTGACAGAAACATGCCTCAGATTTTGATCAGAATTAGCAAGTACCTGTCACCAGTGGGGTTTCTTTGTTTGAGTAGAGGTATATGTCTGCTGATGCAGTAGTAGGGTAGACAGCTTAAAACAATGCAACAGCTTCATCAGTTTCAGGAGTGCCTGTTGTATCAAAACGGCTACTGTGTACCTCTGGGTAATCACTCTGCCGGTTTAAGAGTGGTCAGTACCTGTTGGCTAGGGGCCAATGACCACGGCCTGCCTCGCCTCTGAACGCCGTACTTCTGAGGGCAGGAGACGACAGGCTGTGCGTCAGGGTCCACTAACCAAGATGAGCCAGGCCTATCCAACCATGAATGTGTGGTGCTTTTGCTGCTAATTTAGTGTCAAAGGAAGGGGGCACCATTACCAAAGCGTAGGTGCATCCATTTACCTCCTCTGGGCAGCTGGGTGGACGCGGCAAACGCTTTTCTTCTTGCAGGACACGCACCAGCCGTGCTACCGTCATCTGTCCCTGCGTGGGGCCGATCATTTTCAAGAACTCCTGTGAAAAGAGCAGGAGTCAGCTGCGCATCCTCTTGCCCTGCACAAATCCAGGCTGTTTCAACTTGACATGAAGATGACATTTGAATCTCAAAATGAAAATGAACAGTAGATGCTTATCGTACGGATACCATGCACCATATACTCAAATTAGAAAACAGATACTAACATTTATAAACACAGTTTCCTCACCAGTACATGCATTCACCACAACTTATCTCTGTACAGGGTCTTTAGTGAAAGACAGCCACGAGGGTTGTGTTCATAAGATGAAGAGACTCATTCTACTTCTTGTTTCCAAAAATAATAATGTTTTTCTTAAAACAAACAAACAAACAAACAAACAAACAAAAAAAAAAACCAAAAAACCAAAACCGATTTAAGCAGCTTGAGCAGCAATTTCTTTCACAACCACTTACTGCCATGGGACTGGACTCGGAATCGCAGTAGGTAAGCAGTTCATACAGTGTCACCCCAAATGACCAGACATCCGAGGCGATATAAAATTTACTCTGAAGCAAGCATTCTGGAGCATACCTATGAACACAACATGACAGCGTTAAATTTTATTCAGAGCTGCACAGATCTACTCATACATGCACAACCTA